CTCAAAGACAAGTGTATGTGTAAGTATAAATAGTCATGAACAGACAAATGCACAGAGATAAGTACACACGCATATTTACATAACAACAAGCACACGCCATCATTGTAACAAAGTAAATAAGAAAACCATTGTATATTATTTACCACAAGGATTCCAGACAATTCTCTTGATTCAAGAGTTGAGAAAAAGACGCTAGTGTTGGATACGACACTTACTGACAAAATAAAACAACAACAAAATGATAGCAGTGTAATCATAATTTATCTGAACGGGAACCCATAGTATCAAATAAAAAAATATTGATTAATTTGAAAAAAAAAAAAAAAAACTGGAGAATTTGAGACGGAAGCGAAAAAGGATGTAAAGGTCCTGGGGTGCAAGGAACGAGATTCCAAATATTGATTGACGAAGTGTGCTCTTTCTAGGAACAAAAGGAAGAAGAAAAAGAAGAAGAAGAGGAAGAAGAAGAAGAAGAAGAAGAAGAAGAAGAAGAAGAAGAAGAAGAAGAAGAAGAAGAAGAAGAAGAAGAAGAACAGCAACAACAACAACAACAACAACAACAAGAAAAATAAAAAGAAGAAAAGGAGGAGGAGGAATAGGTAGCATGCAGACAAAAATGTTATAATCTCTAGCTACCAGGTGACCAGCAATCGAAATAATCAATAAAACTCTGGATGGAGTCTAACCAGTACATGGATTTAGCATTTTCATCTTGATGGAGTCTAACCAGTACATGGATTTAGAATTTTCATCTTGATAGAGTCTAACCAGTATATGGATTTAGAATTTTCATCTTGATAGAGTCTAACCAGTATATGGATTTATAATTTTCATCTTGATGGAGTCTAACCAGTATATGGATTTATAATTTTCATCTTGATGGAGTCTAACCAGTACATGGATTTAGAATTTTCATCTTGATGGAGTCTAACCAGTATATGGATTTATAATTTTCATCTTGATGGAGTCTAACCAGTACATGGATTTATAATTTTCATCTTGATGGAGTCTAACCAGTACATGGATTTAGAATTTTCATCTTGATGGAGTCTAACTATTACATGTATTTAAAATTGTCATCTTGATGGAGTCTAAACAGTACATGGATTTAGGATTTTCAGGGGACTATTCAGTCTTTCTGAGCTGATCATGACCTGATGCAATAACTAACACATTCGTAGATCGACTTCAGTTACAAAATCATCAGCTGTTCCTAACATTGACTGCTCAATAACTAACTCATCAACCATTCCTAACTTGTACTGTTTAAAACATAACTCATCAACCGTTCCTAACATTGACTGTTTAATAAAAAACTCATCAACCATTTCCAACGTTGACTGTTTAATGAATACTTCATCAACCATTCCTAACTTTGACTTTAAAAAAAAAAAATCTCATCAACCATTCCTAACTTTGACTGTTTAAAAAATTACTCATTAACCATTCCTAACTTTGACTGCTCAGTAACTAACTCATCAACCATTCCTAGCTTAGACTGCTAAATAATTAACTTATCAACCATTCCTAACTTAAACTGTTTAAAAAATAACTCATCAACCATTCCTAGCTTTGACTGTTTAAAAAATAACTCATTAACTATTCCTAACTTTGACTGCTCAGTAACTATCTCATTAACCATTTGTAGCTTAGACTGCTTAATAAATAACTCATCACCCATTCCTAACTTAGACTGTTTAATAACTAACTCATCAACCATTTCTAACTTTGACTGTTCAATAACTAACTCATCAACTATTCGTAACATGGATTGTTCAATAACTAATTCATTAACCATTCTTAACTTTGACTTAAAAAAAAAAAAACACACACACACACAAATCTCATCAACCATTCCCAAATTTGACTGTTCAATAAATAACTCATCAACTATTCCTAACTTTGAGTGTTTAGTAACTAACTCATTAACCACTCCAAACAATTACTGTTCAGTAACTAACTCTCCAACCATTCATAACTTTGACTGTCCAATAACTTATATATCAACTATTCCTAACTGTCACTGTTCAATGACTAATACATCAACTATTCCTAACTGTCACTGTTCAATAACTAATACATCAACTATTCCTAACTGTCACTGTTCAATAACTAACACATCAACTATTGCTAACTGTCACTATTCAATAAGAAACACACCAACAATTCCTAACACTGACTGTTCAATTAATAAGCCATTTCTAACGGTTACTCTCCAATAGCCAACACACTAGCCATTTCTGGCATTGCCTGTTTCATAACTGATTCATTAGCCATTTATAACCTTGACCTTTTAGGAACCAGCCAAATTTGACATAAGGAATCGCAGTTTGTACATTTCATGACATTATATCTAACAATAGAAATACTCAACAACACTGAACAATGTAGTTTAAAAGAAAACTTTGTCATAAATTGAGGTCATTTAAGCAGGTTGCCAAGTAAACTGGTTTTACTGTGAATTCGTTTTAAAACTGCAATATTTCACGTTTAGTGTTACAAATGTGTATTCGTGTTTCTGATAAATTAATAACACATACTTTACAGACCAGCCCCAAATTTTGCAGGCTGTTTGTGGTTTTACTACGCAATTTTTACATTCAGCAGTTTTTAATTAATACTGCTCAGAACAAAATTGAACGCCATAATATTTTCAAGAGTACTCGTTCTTTTTCATCAGCTGTGATCTATGACAAACAGTTCTGATTGTTCTAACGCATTAACTTTGAAGCCCCACCCTGAATCTTGCCAGGGGCTGCAATATAGTCCGGCCATAAATATGGTCTATTGGCTGAACGCGGTTTTCGGGACCTCTCCACGGGTGATCCTTATCCGTATGGTGGCACTTTGTGTCATCGGATGTTTATCGCTTATGATATCCTAGTGGTGTAAAATGTACTACTACTACTGATTGTTCTTCCACTTCTGGATTTTAGTCCTGTTCCAGAACTTGAGTCTTGCGTACTTACGACATGCTTGTTGGGGCAGAGGTTCTATCCCCCCCCCCCCCTCCCTCCCCCCTTATAATGCCACTCTGAAAAATATACGGGGAATTAGGACAGCATTAATGAAGGGTTTCGTTCCGAGAAGAATAGGCAGGAGTCGCACAGCATCACAGTGTGCACAGGATAACAAGGACACCACGAGCATGAAAATTCACAAAGCAGGACAACACCCGCAGTCGTGACCATAAGGACGAGGTTGAAATCAAACATGTTATCTTCAGACCCTCATGAAAGCGTCTAGCCACTATGCTATCGCTATTCCGAAGGTATATACAGTATGTGCAGTCAGCAGTAAATTCTTAAGTAGCCGTTAAACATCAATATACACACATACATACACAAAATAATACTTTAATGAATTCAATGATATTACACAAATGCATCTAAATGCAAAATAGAGTAATGAAATAGAATAACACGTTTCTCTATAACAAGGCATTTTCAATCATAAGCACGCAGAAAGGCAATTATTCACACATTCATTATATCAATCAATAATGTGCCGTATCCACGATACAGTTGGTTGCAATGGACCTCCAGAACACAGTTTCTTCAACTGGTTATTCATCCTATTAAGCTGTTGTTCGTCTCTTATGTAATATTACCTCTCCAGTTGTATCTGTGTATACCACTTGCTCCCTGCCTTGTTTTTTCCCTCCAGCATGGTTGTAAATAATATCACGTCTTTTCCCTCCAGTAAGGTTTTAACTAGTATCAAGTCTTTTCCCTCCAGTAAGGTTTTAACTAGTATCACGTCTTTTCCCTCCAGTATGGTTTTAACTAGTATCACGTCTTTTCCCTCCGGTATGATTTTAACTAGTATCACGTCTTTTCCCTCCAGTATGGTTTTAACTAGTATCACGTCTTTCGGTGACACTGAAATAATTTTCGCGAGTCTTTCTTTCTTTCTTTCTTTCTTTCTTTCTTTCTTTCTTTCTTTCTTTCTTTCTTTCTTTCTTTCTTTCTTTCTTTCTTTTTTCTTTTTCTCCTTTTCTTTCTTTCTTTCTTTCTTTCTTTCTTTTCTTTCTTTTTTCTTTCTTTCTTTCTTTCTTTCTTTCTTTCTTTCTTTCTTTTCTCTTTCTTTTCTTTCTTTCTCTTTCTTTCTTCTTTCTTTCTTTCTTTTCTTTCTTTCTTTCTCTTCTTTCTTTCTTTTTTCTTTATTTTTTCTTTCTTTCTTTCTTTCTTTCTTTCTATCTTTCTTTCTTCTTTCGTTTCTTTCTTTCTTTCTTTTCTTTCTTTTTCTTTCTTTCTTTCTTTCAATTCTTTCTTTCTTTCTTTTCTTTCTTTCTTTCTCTTTCTTTCTTTCTTTCTTTCTTTCTTTCTTTCTTTCTTTTCTTTCTTTCTTTCTTTCTGTATTTCTTTTCTTTTCTTTCTTTCTTTCTTTCTTTTCTTTTCTTTCTTTCTTTTTCTTTCTTTCTCTCTTTCTTTCTTTCCTTTCTTTCTTTCTTTTCTTTCTTTCTTTCTTTTCTTTCTATTCTTTCTTTCGTCTTTCTTATCCTTTTCTCTCTTTCTTTCTTTCTTCTTTCTGACTTTCTTTCTGCCTTTCTTTCTTTCTTCCTTCCTTCCTTTCTCCTTCTTCTCCGCGTTTACTGGCGGAAAAAGTGCTGTCTCTTCGTCCATTTCTGGACTCTAGTCTTATTCTAGAACTTGAGTTTCGCATGAACATCCATTATACCGATCTGACTTATTAGTGTGCAGACTGTTGGTTCTTCGTCTCTGAGACAGACGCACTCCGGTTTCGAAAGACACATCCTAATTATTCGACCTTTACGACATACTTTTTTTTTTCTAAAAGATGACAATAGGTCAATTCTACCCCCCCCCCCCGCCCTCAAAATGGCGCCCTGGAAGCCACATACGCGGGGTTTTGTTTCTTCAAACTCTCTCACTTATGTGCAAACTCTCCAGAGTATCTGTATTTGATTGATTGTGATACCATTTGCTTGAGTGTTCACAATTTCGTGTCTAAGTCTATCTTACAAACTAACGACGATCCTACACACCAAGCCGGTGTGGATGTTGTGCGAACAGAACTCCTTGATACATGATGCCATTGATCTCCATGCTGACCACCAAAGATGTGTCGATTTCTGATCTGCCGTCATCTGAAACACACACAGAATAAACAATATTCACATACTGAGCATTTCAATGCAATACGATGAGTGGATTGAGATGGCATTGTAAGATTTGTGTGTGAATGTTTTTCGACATCTAACACATATTTGCGCGCGCGCGCGCACACACACACAGACACACACACATACAGACACACACACATACAGACACACACACACACAACACACACAAACAGACACACACAACACACACAACACACACACATACAGACACACACAAAACACACACATACAGAAACACACAATACACACAAACACATACACACAGACAGACACACACATATACAGACAGACATACACACACAGACAGACACACACACACATACAGACACACGCAACACACACACACAGACACACAACACACAACACACACACACACACACACACACACAATGTGTCTGATAATTTTCAGAGACAGACCACAAAGTGGTCATTTCATGGTTCAAGAACAACCGGATCATTCCACTGTTCGAGGAATGTTTACAAATACAAGACGTGCTCTCTCTCTCTCTCTCTCTCTCTCTCTCTCTCTCTCTCTCTCTCTCTCTCTCTCTTTCTCTCTCTCTCTCTCTCTCTCTCTTTCTCTCTCTCTCTCAATCTCTCTCTCTCCCTCCTTCTGTGAGTTGTCTTTGTTAGAATACCTTTCTAGCAGGTTTCGCATTGTGTATATTTATTTCAAATTGGTATATCATTACAAATTATCTTTCATTGGCTGCAAGATCATTTACTTTCTTCCTTTCTACATGTTTCTGTTTACAATTTGTGTATACCATTCTTTGAATCTTTCTTTTCCTTTTTTTTTGCGTTTTCCTTCCTTCCTATCTTCCTTCCTTCTTTCCTTCTTTCCATCCATCCATCCTTCCTTCCTTTCTTTTTTCATTGCTTCCTTTCTTCCTTCCGTCCGTACTTTCTTCTTTCCTTTCTTTCGTTCTTTTATGTTGTCTTCATTTCTTTGTCATGTCTTTACTCGTTTTATCCACCTATTATTTCTTTCATTTTCTTTCTTTCATTCCTTCTTTCCCTTTTTTGCTGTCATTTTCTTATTGTCTTCTGTATTTTTTATGAATGCATGCAACCTTCTCAACCACCCCAGCATTTCTCCTATTTTTCTTGTCAACACATAAAGGATACGTCAGCCTGTACCATTCCTTGACGTTCCCACCGCGTCTATGTTCTGTACAGACAGATACTTTAGCC